GAGTGCTGCCAATATTACCACAACTATACACCTAAAGAAATTGAGCAAAGATACTAGCGCCTGTATGTAGGATACAGTTGTACGCTCTATTATATCGAGCCACGTTTGACTTAGATCTGGAGGCACTATCCAGAAAACAACACCTATGATTCATTCATGCTATTCTTCTTCTTTGAAAATCTTGAAAATTAGCGACCATTTTTTCAGTCAAATATAGTTTACGACCAAAGCAATCCATATGGTACATCATTGACGTTTCATTCTCTTCTCTTCTTTGCTCCCTCAGGGTTGCGGACCAATCACCAATCCATTGGTCGGATACTATTTTATCTCATCGCGGCTGGCATCTTGCTAGTAGCTTTGATATTTTCACTTGTTTGGATATCGAAAAACCAGCAATCTGGTTCTGATCAACAAGTAATGAATAGTCAATTACCAAAATGAAATATAGAATCGGTCGGCACATATGAAAACTCCCCCCAGAACCGTACAGTGTTCGACTCTTACCACGAAATCTGTATCGATTTCGCAATATTATTAGATTACACATAAAAGTTCAACTCTTCTAGATCAGCCTAATACTGAGCCAGGGCAATTCAAAAGTCCTTTACAGTAATCACAACTAATTTCGTTTCAGATGGGAAAAGAACAAAGTTGTTCTTTGGATGGGATAACAAAACAGTGGGTCCTCAGCATAAGGAACAAATGGCGATTAACAGTACATTTTGCTCATAGTATGGAAGTGGGGAAATTAAGTTGGGAAAACCTAGCCCGACAATATGAGCTGTGTATTAATTCTCTTTGGAACTGCCATATAAAATGGATTATATATATTACATGTATATACAATTATATTACATAAATACATACTTCGTGATTACATGACGGTACAGATATTTTGGTAGTCGAAAGTTTATTAATGACTGGTCTAAAACTAATGGGCCGACATAGGTGACTCAGAGAAGTAGATTTATCCATGTTATTTCCGAAAACGGTCAGTGATCAGTGAACCAGTATTCAGAAGCCTGATACAATGATTGTCAGTTAGTCCATGTGCATCAATGTAAAGTAAACCCTTTGAAAAATGAACATTGCTACGCAAATCTACTATGAACTGAATTGACGCGCGACCAGCTTCTTCTATCAGACACGCCAGCTTTGAGGGAAACCGCCTCTGTTCATGATCCGTTCCGTAGAAGGTTTGGAACCATTCACAACGGTGGAGCTGTTCAATGTTTCGTTGTTCTGCTACATCCAAATAAAAGAATTACAACAAATCGAAATATTTGACACTAATTTGCACAAAGTTCAATGTTTTCAATTTTTTATACTTCTGTTTTTTCCGGTTCCGAAACATTCTCAGAGTTTTCCTGGCACATGGACCACTGTGAATACATGCATACACGCATACATACCGACTTACGAAGGTTTCCCAGACACAAGAATGGTCAGATTATAAAACTCCCAAATTGGTATCCAAACTTGTGACTACTCCTTATACAAAGAAAAGATAGCTTAGATCTTCATTCTTGATTGATCAGCAGCTCGAAACTGACAGTAATAATAAACCGGTGGAACACTCAAATAATTAGAGGGTAGGGGGAGTCACATCAAATCAGGATCAGGGACGGCGGTCACGAGAGGGTGCGAAAGCATCTGAGTTTAGTAGGCAAACAAAAGGATAGGCTCGTTCGCGGTAAACGGAAAGCACATGTCTGGGTACCGAATGTCGAATGATTGATAGTACGTCTGAGTTCAAACAATGATAAATGATAGATAGGTGACTAAACAACTGTG